ACATGTCTGAATAACAAGCAGCCATTACTGTAACTGATCGGTGAAGCTGGCTGTTTTATGTCTTCCATGTCTGAAAAGGACTTTTAGATTTACATTTATGTGTCTCTTGTTTTTCTCTTCTTCTCCTCCACCTGTTGTCGCTGTTACACGTCTCCATCATTCAGGCTTCTAATGTATTACTCACTCTCAGCACACTGAACCCCAGGCTAGCTTATAGAAATAGAAGAAGTTGGCAGATGGAGGTTTTCCAGACGGAGGTACCCCGCTGGCTCTGTCTGTCTTCGGTCTGGTCGTCCGAGGTGGTTTTCCCGTAACAGCCGCCGACAGCTGCACCTGTAATCTCCTCAAGTCGTGGACTAACTTTAACTTTAATGGGCTAACTTTAATGGGCTTCTGCTGCTTTGTTGCTGCTTATTGGCTCTGTTTGTTGTTGTTGTTGGATAGCGCCGGCTGTAAAGTGATATAGTTTCACAGATGGTTCGGGTAATAGATGTACCTTTCTGCTCTTTAATACCTCGGGAAAAGTCTTTGTTACTGAATCTTTGACATCCAATGATTGGACATGAAAAGAGCCACAGGGACACTTTAAAACGAGCAGTTTGCAATTATTTTTTTTTACCAACATTTGGTGGCACGAATGTGTACTTTAGGACAACTGAAGTATGTGCTGTGTAAACGGTGTGATCTCGTGCTTTTCATTGATGTAACCACCGCCTTAAAGTTGACAATTTGCTGCCTTTGTGCATGATAGCTTCTTTCAACCTTCATCATTTTACAGTTTTAGTCTGCTGGTGACACCAAAGAATCAGAAATCAGAATCGGGTTTTGTTGCCAACCACATTTACACATACAAGGAATTTGTCTTGGTGTATTGGTGCAAAACAGTTAACAAAGGAAATGAATAAATCAAAAATAGCAAGAATTGAAATAATAAAATACAAGAAGCAAATACAAATATTTAAAATAGAATAAAAAAAATGTGAAGTGTAAAAAAACGTGCAATGGATGAGCTGTGCAGTTGACAATGGACAGTGTTTATAAATCGACTCAGAATGCATGTAAAATAAATGTAAAGTCTGTGTGCGTTAATGTAACACATTAAATCAGTGTCAGCCTCTTTGAATTCATCTGTTTGGCTCTGATGACAGATATACAAAATAATCAACAAATTGTCGATGATGATGATTATGATGATTTCATATGAGCTCTTAAAACCTGTTAATGTATCCAGGTGTTAAATGAGAAAGGAGGAGGAGACAGGCAGAGAGAGGAGAGTGAGGGGAGGGAGGGACAGGATGAGGGAGGGAGGGAGAGAGGGGGGGGGGCAGTGCTTACTAGCGGATGAGCCATCGCCATGGAGTAGTCTCCTCACCAGCCTGTAAGTACCTCTCGCTCTCTGATCCCGAGAACCTCCTCACACCCGAGGCTGAGGAGGAGGGTGAAAGGGGGAGCAGATCGGGTGTTTTGTTGTGATAAAGACGAGGAGGAGAAGGAGACAGGGAGGGAAGCAGGAGAGAAGGGGGAAGGGCTGCGCTTTGTCGGTGCCGGCATGCAGACACGCAGATGCATGCATGCCGAGTCATTCGGAGCAAATTCAATTCAGTCGGCCAGCGCGAGTCATCCTATGTGTGTGTGTGTGTGTGTGTGTGTGTGTGTGTGTGTGTGTGTGTGTGTGTGTGTGTGTGTGTGTGTGTGTTGGTATTTAAACAGGGTGGCAGCTTGGACAGCAGTGTGTGTGTGCGCATGTGTGTGTATCTGTGTGGGAATGTCATGAGCCTTTCTATATTTATATATACGTCTGTCCATGTTGGTAGCATCATGTTTTCTGTCACAGATGTTGTCTCCGCCCAGCAAAATACATATGACCTGGAGCTTACGTCTGCATGCACACACTTATAAACACAAACACAAATTCACATGCGTGCAGCTGCATCAGCAGCTAAATTTAGGACAGGAGCCCCCCCCCCCCCCCCCCCCAACAATCCCCCACATCCATCCAGTCTCTGTTAAATGCAGCATCAGCATCTCAGATTGCCGGCTTTCTGTCTCATTATGCAAATCATAAAACAGTCTTCAGCGTGTGTTGTTGGCCTGACAGTAAAGAAAATGCAGCTTCAGCTACTGTCAGCGTAAAACTGCTTGTTGCTGTTTTGGTGTTTGTGTTGCATCATTCAGCTTTGCAGGCTAACACGTGCACGGTGGAGACCTTGTCTGGTGTTTGAACGAGCATGAAAAAGACACACATATGCACAGCAGGATATGTTACTGATTATAATAAACTAAAGGCAGGCGTTCTCCAATGAGAGGCTCAGAAAATCCTTTTATTACCTGTTAAAGTCTCTCAACTATCATTTTCAGCGTGATTCAATTAAAGTAATTCTGCCTTTGTGAAAAGTGGACGTCATTCTAACTGAACAGTAAACTAGTTACTAAATTGGGCAACAGTTCATCTGAAATTGTTATTCTTTGGGTAGTTAAAGCTCCTGTGAGGAACTTTCTCTTTGCCTGTTTTTGGCAAGTGCTCAGATCATGAGTCATGATTTGAGCAGAAAAAATTCTTTAAACATTCAAGTGTATCACTCATTGTGGCGCCTAGTGGTTACTTCATGTCCCTCCCATGTACAGAGGCTACAGTCCCTGGGCAGGCTGCCCGGGTTCGAATCCGACCTGTGGCTCGTTTGCTGCATGCCGTTCCCCACTCTCTCGCTGTGATTCCCGACACTATCCACTGTCCTTTCTCTGTAATAAAGGCCAAAAAGCGTCAAAGTCGGCAAGAATCTTTGCTCTTCTTTGCTTTTGTGAGTCATATAGAGACATCGCTTTTTATTGCGGTCTCTTTCGTAATTAGCTCAAAACTCTTCACAGGAGGTTTAAGAGAACGATTGAGAGAGAACTTTCTAAATGCTGCCTGGTGAGACCTTGTTTTAGCCTCTGTCAGGTCAGTGCGTACTCAGACGTGACCAATAAACAAATTTAAAAACTGACAAGGTAGAAGACGGGATATAATGTTGGGATGAATATGATTTGATCTTTGAAATGTGGGCGTCATAAAACAAACATGGTGAGCTACAGTGATGAATTGGGCGTGGACGTTAGCCTCGTTTCTGTTGGAGAGGACTAACTCTCCTCAATAAGGCTCTTGGTATATGCCTCTAAAAACTTAGGTGTTCATTTTCAAACTGTTAAAGTTTAGTTTAGTCTTCTTCACAATTTTTTTAGAACTAAAATTAATATTTTGGCCGATATCAGTTCATGTTTTTCCAAAAAAATCTTAGGCAGCAGGCATAACATCACTATACCAGCATCAAAAAGACAATATCTGGTGTGCTGTTGAAGAGAAAGATTGTCTTGTGTTACCTTTAACCTAGCATGTATTTATAGAACACACAGAACCAACCTGTTGGTAATGACAGACCTCCAGACAACACAGACACACTGAACTCAACTTCAGACTGAAACACACACCTCTCCACACACACACACACATATTCTCAGAGGTGGATTTTGGTGAGTTACTCTCTCTCCCTGCTTTGTGTCAGTGTGTGTGTGTGTGTGTGTGTGTGTGTGTGTGTGCTTGTGAGTGTGCACAGGAGAATGAACTGATGTAGGTCACTGACCTGAGAGCTGTACTGGAATGTGGTCTCTTTCCCAGACTGCACACCAGCTCTCCGTCAGATGTAGGTCATCCTGCAGCTCGCCAATATAACGGCTGCTGTTGTGTCAGACGTGAGAATGATCGCAGCGCTTCTCAGACGCTCTGACAGGCTGCTGCAGCACTGATCTGTGGTGTAGAGAGCTGACAACAAAGGCAGGGTGATGGGTGTGATTCTCACTGTGCTTGGCCACGCTCAACACGCATGCACGGTGTTACATCGTGTTTACGCTGCATCTCAATGTGTCCCTTAAAGTTCTGATGAGTTTACTTTCATGGAGATGAACAACAGATGAAGTTTTAGAAGAGTTAAAAGCTGCACAGAGTTTTCTTCTTTTTGATATTAGTCTGTGCTAACCCTGCTTCAAACTCACTGCCTTAAATTAGTAAGTAACTAATCCCATTCATAAACGTGCACACGGCGCCGACGAAGCAGCAGGAGCAACTTGGGGTAAAGTGTCTTCTTGCTCGAGGACACATTGCACATGTTGCTGCAGGAGCTGGGGATCGAACCCCCAACCTTCAACTGACTCTGCCAACTGAGCCCAAGCCGCCCCACTGAGAACAGATCAGTCAGCCATGATAAAAACAAAAATCATTCACAAAGACATTTGCTATTATTTCGTTGTGTACAAAGTTTTAGCATGTAGAGAAAACAATATAGAGGGGCAAACGTCTCTGTTTACTTGATGCAGTTTCCTAAATCAAAGTCCTCCCAGATTATTCTTTATAAATAAGAATGTTTTATTTAAGAATGGCTCAGAAACTTCTTAAACAGGTGGTCACTGAATTTTATAGCAATCAAAAAGGAAGGAAAGTTTCATCTGTTTAAACTATTTTTAGCAGCAGATTAGTCCACTTTTGGTGCTCCATGTGTATTTCTGGAAGCAGGATTTTGTGTGTGTGTGTGTGTGTGTGTGTGTGTTAGTCTGTGTGTGGGATTAAACTAAAACAACCTCTAATATGTGTGTGTTTTCATTGTAACGAGGGAACATGCTGCACAGTGTGTTGCTGCTGTGTGTCTTTTTATATTTTCTGGAAAACGACGGATATTACCATTAATCGAGGATCACAGAACCGGGACTTTTGCATGATTTCGTAGTATTTTTATGACGCAGTTTAGTGAAGATAAAGTGCCGTTAAAAACTGGAACATTTCTGCAGTAAAAAAACAAGAAAACTGCTGGTTAACTCTCCCTGCTGCAAAGAGAAACACGTTCACTATAGAGAGAAATGACAGTGACTAAACAGTTTAATGCTCTCAGCCTTCCGGGAAAGAGTCTTCTGACCGGTGAAACTCCAGCAGCAGCAGCTTCTCTAATTTGTCCTTTTTTCTTTTTTCCGTGCAGGGTGAGGAAGCTGAAGGAGACGCTGGTGACGGTGCAGCAGCTCGATAAGAACATGAGCAACCTGCGGACATGGCTGTCTCGTATCGAGGCCGAGCTGGCCAAGCCGCTCGTCTACAACGTGTGCCACAGCGACGAGATCCAGAAAAAGCTGGCCGAGCAGCAGGTGAGCAAAAACACTGTGTTTTTTTTTTTTCTTCCTTTGTTTTTAGTTCAAGCTCTGCAAGTTAAGTACCAACAGAAAAAAGGGGATCTAATATAGTTAAAGAAAACTTTCTCTCCGCACTGCACCCTCAGCCTAATTGTCTCTTGCACCTCTACACTATTGAGCTCAGAGTGCTCCATGTAAGAACCGGGGCTTAAAAAGCTGTTTTGTGATGGCACAAAGTCAGAAAATCTACTTTGAGGGAAGCTGTACTGCAGAGTCATTTGTGGGCATTTGAGGTCCGGGCAGTACTTTACACACACACACACACACACACACACACACACACACACACACACACACACACACACACACACACACACACACACACACACACACACACAGGTAACTCACGCCTGCTTTTAAATCCTTTTTTTAATATATCACTGTCGCTCTGTAGAGGTCCACAGCGTAATAACAGAAGAGTTGAGTCAGGTGTGCCGCAAAGTAAAATCCCAGCACGTTGCAGGATGAAGGAGGAAGCCGCACACTGAGCTGAATTTACCTAAAAGCACCGAAAGTCAGACTTCAGACGGGGCGACGAAAGAGAGAGAAATGGACTATAGCCTGTTTGTCCATTTGTCGTCTGTCGTTTTGCTACTTTACTTATAGGAGAAGGTCTGCTAGCGTGGGAGGAGGTGGAGGAAGAGAAGGGTAGGGTAGAGATTTGTTCAGACAAAAGATGAGTGAGTTTTGATCTTTGAGGTACAGTATGCAGATATTGCAACTGCTTTTTTTGTGTGTGGATATCTGACATTATAAGTTAGACAAGTAATAACAACTTTGATCCGCTCTGCTCTGCAAAAACAAATCAGTGCTTTGTGAAGCCAAAAAGAAATACTGAGACAGAGAGAGAGAGAGAGAGAGAGAGAGAGAGAGAGAGAGAGAGAGAGAGAGAGAGAGAGAGAGAGAGAAGACAGACAGACAGAAAAAAAGGAGAAAAATGGGTGATTTGGTCAAAAGTGAGTAAGAAACAGAAAACCACGCTGACTGAATGACACACTTCCATAGAAAAAAAGTCTGCAGCTCCCTCCATTAGTAGATGAGGGACGGCTCAAAATGACTCCAGTGTGGATGGGCTTTTTACGCTCTAGGCTGTCACCATGGCAACCCAGAGAGTGGTAAACTTTGAACAAACAAGAGCCGACAAAAGTGCTGTCAGGCTCCAGAGAGAGCCGCGCACACAGAAAAAAAGTCCGATGGGTGATAGCTCGGCTTTGCACTGAAAGAAGTGTGAGGTTTTAGCTTTCATTGTGTTTCTGCAATAAGAATACAACAAATCAACACATCGTATAGGTTTACTAAAGAAAGCATGCACAGTTGTCGCTTTTGGAGAGCGTTCAAACGGGCACTTTACATATTTTGAGTCATGAAGCGTTCTGCCTCTTATGTGCACAGTGGGGAAGACGGTGTGAATTGAAAAATACTTGAATAAAGAAAATATAGAAACTTTAAAAGAAGCAGAGTAGGTTTTTCTGACACAACTTCACCGACTACCAAGGTGCGTGCAGAGGGAAAGGATTGAAGAGGTCAAAAGTCTCCAGAAACACTTGGAGTATGACGATCTAAGTTTATTAGACCGACGCGTTTGGGCTTTGTGGCCTCCATCAGGGCTTTCATCTGATGACCCTGGTGAAGACCACATGCCCAAAAGGCTGTCGTTAAAAGAAAAGAAATACAAAGAAAGAAATAAGTTCATGTTCTTCCTAAAAGCATTTTGCTTTTATTTCAGCTTGAGAGCTCCGCTTGAAATATTACAAGAGGAAAATCGGGATGATTATCTCCTCACAGGTTGTTTCCAGAGCTTCTACTCTCATGATCTTCAACGAATAAAGATGGTTGATTAGTTTTTTATGTTATTAGATGTTATTAGATCTTAAATTTGCAGGGATGATGGTCTCCTGTCTCTGCTCTGAGATCTCTGGCTTCAGAGAGGATAACCTCCCAAGATTTTTCTTCAAGCTTCAAACCTTCTTGTATTGATTGGGAACACACACTGCTCTTTCACCCTGATTTGTTCACAAAGTGCAGATATATAACCCAGGTGTTAATTTGCTCTCTGACCTGCAGGATCTGCAGCGGGACATCGAGCAGCACACGGAGAGCGTGGCGTCTGTTCTGACCCTGTGTGACGTCCTGCTTCATGATGCAGACGCCTGCGGCGGCGACTCGGAGAACGACTCGATCCAGCAGACCACTCGAAGTCTGGACCGGCGCTGGAGGAACATCTGTGCCATGTCCATGGAGAGGAGGATGAGGTGAGCGCCCCCACATAGTCACAGATTGTGTTTTAATACTTCATTTTGACATAAAGTAAAAAAAAAAAAAATGTCCTAAAGTATTTGTTTTGTGAGGTCATCAGAGTGTTCTAGCACTCTAATAAGTATTATAACTGTGTGTCTTTCTTTTTGTTTCATGCTCCCATGGACTTTTCACAGTTTACCTTCTTATCGCTCATCGATATTGAAACTAAATCCTCTTGTCTGTTGTGTTTAGGATTGAGGAGACGTGGCGTCTCTGGTGTAAGTTCCTGGACGATTTCTCTCGCTTCGAGGACTGGCTGAAATCAGCTGAGCTCACCGCAGCGAGCCCGGACTCTGCTGACGTCCTCTACACCAGCGCCAAGGAGGAGCTCAAGAAGTTTGAGGTCAGCAGACGAATCTTTCTCCCCTTTTTGCACCCTTCACGAAACGTTGCGAGACCAGACGTTAACAGAAAGATGACGTCGTCTTGTTTCATCCACTCATTAGAAAGTCTGCAACCAACTCAACCTGAACATAGGGCCAGTTCAGAAATGATGCTGTAAGGAAAGGGTCATGGGAATTCAACAACAAACCTCACATGAAATGTAGATTTTTTTTTTGTGTGTACACAGTGATGCTAAAACAAGATACAGGGACTCACGGTAAGGTTTAGGGCATTACAGAATGTTAGGACTGATCTTTTAGGAACAATGATCAGGACTTCCTCTGGACTAAGTCTTTTCTTAATTTTGAAGACCCTTCTTCCCCTTTATAAAGCCTTCTAAATTCAGGTGTAAAATGTTTGATTTCAGCCAATTTGGTCCCAATTTTGGGAATTGTTTGGGAAAAAAAGACACACAAGGGGAATATTTTCGGTCTTTACACATTAAGTTGTGGACATGTGTGTCTCATAATTGACCAGTGGTCTGACATCATCAAATTCAAAGTTGACTGACGGCGCTCTACTTTTCAATTGTGATTGCGAAGACCTGTTTTAACCAATCAAAACACTCGTCTGAAATGTGTCTTGTCCCAGTCAGTCCAGTGTCAGTTCTCAGGTGTCCTGCTCTGTTCAAATACAGAGGTAACCTTTGATGTGTCGGCATGGATTAGAAACACAGATTAGCTTCTGGTAATCTGAACTCTGCCCATGTGCGCTCATCTCCACGGCAACGGGGATCCAGTGAAGATGTAGTGGGTTGGTTACTAATTTGACTTAAACACTCTCCATGCTGCTGAGGATCCACTGACCTAAATACTGACGGTGAATGATGGAAGCTTTGAGAGCGTAGACTTTATGTAGACCTTTTTAAAAGACCGTTTTTATTTGATCCATCCTACGTTTTCCAGGAAAGACTTGATGGTCATTTTTTTTCACCACAGAATTTAACTGCCACTGGATGAAAAAACGTTTTTCAAGACTTTTCCGATCGCCCTCTCCTAAATTTAATTCCACTGAAAGATGTTTACAGAAAAATAAAACCCTTTATTTTATATGAAATCACTCATCCCGCTTGGATTGTTTCCAGGGATGCCTGTGCACTTTTTTTAGACTGATAACTCATTGTCAGTACAACCAAACATCTGTACTTACATTTCCTAATATATGCTCTCCTTTTAGGCCTTCCAGCGGCAGGTTCATGAGCGCCTGACTCAACTGGAGCTGGTCAACAAACAGTATCGCCGCCTTGCACGCGAGAACCGCACAGACGCCGCCAGCAAGCTCAAAGTCATGGTTCACGAGGGGAACCAGAGGTGGGACAGCCTGCAGAGGAGGGTGGCCGCTGTTCTCCGCAGAATCAAGGTGAGAATGGGGAGGCATGTAGCTAAGAGGTAAATCTACCTTTCTTCCAAAGTCAGCTTTTTAGAGCTTGAAACACACAACAATCAAATAAGAGCTACAGTAGGAAACTTCCTCAAATCGCAGGAAGAGAGACAACATATGAGTGAACATGAAAACCAAGGAATGAAACTTCTCGTTTATGACAATCAAAGATGTGAATCAGGAAGCAAAAACCTCAGCGTGTATCAAGCTCATCCGTGCGGTGTCTCTGCGCTCTCGCCTCTAAGCCGGCAGGATTTAGGTCACCTCTCAGACGGTGACGAGGCACGAGGCGTCACGTTGGCAGGAAGCTGATTTCATCGCGCTGAGCAGATGGAGGCTCTTTGTGTTGCTTTAGAAATACCGCATGTATTCAAAGAGTGGAGCAGATTGGTGCTTTTTGACCTCTGACATCCCAGCAGACCGGGGTCAACAGTGCATCCTGGAGGAGTAAAAATAGTAACACACAGGAGATGAGGAGAGAAGGGCAAGGAGGTCAAAGTTCATGTTGCAAAGACTTCATATTTTTTATTTCATATTTTGCACAGTACACGTCTTATAAGAAAGGAGATGTTTAAAAAAAAAAAAAAAAAAAAAGGCCCATTATTTCAATAATTTTAATTTCTATTTTTTCAGGGAAATTATCTTTTTGTTTTTTGAATTCACGTTAAATTGGTAATTTATTTCAGAGGACGGGTTTGGAAACACGTCATGTGGTCCAATTATAAATCAAACAGTGACTTCCTATTTTGCGTATTTGACCTGTGTTTTTTATGACTTCTGTTTGTGTTTCCATCTCACAATGAATCTAAATTGTAGTACTTCAGATACATTTTTTAAGATTTTTTTCAAATTCAGCCATAACACCCTAAAGTCAGGATTTGCTGTCTGCAGTATCAGTCATAAACCCCGCCTCCTTTATGTTGACAGGGTCAAATTATAAAATCAAAATGCAAGTCAGATGGAAAAAATGTTGTTAAAAAGATGTTATCTTTCCATTTAGTGTTCAAGTCAAGTTTTTCTCAGCAGTTTCTTTTCAATAAGTCATGTGATGCTATAAAACGGTATCAAAGGCCATGATTGACCGCTCTGTTGTTTTATGCGGCTCCTGCGGCGGCGCTGTGTGCACCGGGTTAGAAGATGATTCAAGGAGACGGAGTGACATGTTTCAAATGAACCAGGAACAACATTCTGAAAAATTATCATTAATAATGTTTTTTTTAAAAGGTCATAAAGTGAGGATGGTGTACTTTGGATTAACCATACACTTTGATTTTTCTTCCGTGACTCCCAAAGTTGTGGAAATACTGAAACCCACATTTGAAAGCTGCTTGAACCAGTTTGGACCAGTCTATGTCCCTCACATAACGAGGGTTATGCAATGGAGACAATATTATTATAATTGCAGCTATTTCAAACAGTTATACTCTTTAGTTGGTATTACTCAGGGTTTGTGATGTCCCGTGTTCTCCTGCAGCACTTTACCTCTCAGAGAGAAGACTTTGAGGGGACCCGTGAGGGGATCCTGGTCTGGCTGACAGAGATGGACCTGCAGCTCACCAACGTGGAGCACTTCTCAGAGAGTGACATCGAAGACAAGATGAGACAGCTCAACGTAAGTCTGCTCCTATTTGACACTTAACCTCCCCTTTAATAAATCTTTTACGACGACAATCCTTCCTGTTATCCTGAAAATCACCGGAAACCAAAGCTGAAGCTCAGAAGCTTCAATAAAGATAGATATCTGGAAAAAGAAAGTTCCCGATTACAGATTTTGGACAAATAGATTATATAAATGTACAGATGGGAAAAATACAATATATACCTGAGTCAGAGGTCATCCCTCCTTTAAAACCATATTCAGAGTTTAGTTTCCTTTATTTCAGCATCTGTTTTAACAGGAGTCTTTCCCACATAAAAATCAGTGTTTCCCCTCCTTGTGTCTCCCTCCCTGCAGGGCTTCCAGCAGGAAATCACCCTGAACACCAACAAAATCGACGCCCTGATTGTGTTCGGGGAGAATCTGATCCAGAAAAGCGCTCCTCTGGACGCCGTGCTGATCGAGGACGAGCTGGAGGAGCTGCACTCTTACTGCCAGGAGGTGTTTGGACGGGTCGCCCGATTCCATAACCGACTTGTCAACAGACGCCCGGTCAGTACTACGTTTACGACAGGCACTTGCTTATTTCATAAGGTTATCTATAGAGCTAATTTTCCTGAATAAAGTACTCAATCCTTGTTTTTCCTTTAAATGTTTTTAAGATTTTGGAGGAGGAGAGGGAGCTTTCAGACCGGGACACAGACCACGACGACTCGCCTGATTTGACCAACGGGACCTCCTGGAGCGAGTCAGGCAGGAAAAAGGAGGGCGAAGAAGAAGTTCCAGCAGGAGGTGGAGTCTCAGCTGGACGGCAAGCTATGTGTCACCTCCTGGCGCCCCCTCTGGAGCGATCTGGGAGAGAGACCCCCGTCAGCGTGGACTCCATCCCTTTAGAGTGGGATCACACGGTCGATGTGGGAGGGTCATCGTCACACGAGGAAGATGAGGACGCCACCTTCTTCAGCGCTCTTTCAGGTATTAATGACATTAATGTTTACTCCCCTCATCAGCTTATGATATACTTTTGGAAGTGTTCTGTTTTTGTATGATACATTCACATGTTTCCAAAGCGTAGGTCTTTCAAAAGTGATGTCCTCATTAGATTCTATTTTAAGATATTTCAAGGGAAACAGAAGGCCTGGGCTCATTGTTACGAGAAAATCTGCCAATGGGGCAAGAAAATTTGACTTGTTAAGTTTGTTAAGGCATGCACTTTGATAATCCCTTTAGTGAAATTTAGGGTAACAAACTGTTAATGAGAGTCGGGCTTCTCACACACATGGGCCAGAAATACACACAAACATGATCTATGAACATGCATTAATGGAGATATGTCAGAGTGAGGCCGCTACACACAGCACACCAGAGCTGCTGGGGCGTTCGATGTCTTGCTCAAAGGCCCCTCAGCAGTACTCGGGAAGTGGCTTGTCACCACTTGAACCAGCAACCCTCTAGTTCCCAACCTATACAGATGCCTCAAAATGTCTTATTTCAAGAAACAATGACATTTTTTTTTACTATTGGCAGATTTAAAAAAAAAAAACTGATTAAAGCACATCAGGCCTCATTTTTTGCATGTCGTATCTCAAAATAATTTCAGGTATTTCAGGACTTGTGTGTTAAAGTGGCTTACAATAAATTAAATTAAATATTTTTGACGAGAAAAAGAAAATACTTCAAGTTTTTGCAGTGTATCTTTCTAACTTCTAATTTCTTTAATGGTTTCAAAATAAAGTTGTTGTTTTTTTTAAACCATTTTTTTCAGGTATACTCTGAATTAAGTTGGAGATGAAAAAACTCATTCTGGGTTTTGGTCTTCATCGGATTTGTTTACAGTCAAATATTAAACATGGCTGCCAAAACACTCTTTTCTTGTCACTTAAAGGACAAATTAGGCTTCAGTTAACCCTTGCAGATCTCCTTTGTCTTCCTCTCTTTTTGGAAGAAGAAGTGTGAAAGATCTCATCCTTTAATATTCCTGAAACAGCATCATAACTTGTGCAGAGCTGCATCCTCTCCAGAGCAGCTGATGGACACTGTTGACCTCCACACTCTCTCTTACAGATGTGAAGGTCACAGAGAGCTCAGAGTCCTTTGTTAAAGCGACTGTCAGAGCAGTGAGAGCAGCCTCCGGTAGGCACTCTGCCTGCTGCATGTTCTTGCCTCACTGTGTTCTTATGCACCTGCATCTCTTCTCCTAGCAACCCCGAACTCATCCAGCTGTACCCCACATCCCAATCCATCATCTAATTCACATTTTCCGCCCCCTTTTTACTTTTAGTTCAAATGAAAGAAAGGGATTGCCCGAGATGAAAGCACATCAAACTTGCATGAAGTGGATGGAACTTCATCGTGCAATCCATTAGTGTTTTGTTGATGTGTTTCTATATGGAAGTCTTATTGGCGACAGAAAAAATAAACATGTGGTGATCATTTTTCTGAGTCACATCACAAAATGTTCCCTTCTTTGTTTATGGCGATTAAAGAAAGTGAGCATTGACATTTTTTATAACATTTAGTTTATTTATTCTGGTTATTACATCATAAATACTGCTCAGAAAATAACACTGATTTATAATATTGACGAGAGAAAAGACTCTACAATTGATTTTTTCCTCTTGCCTCTCAGGGCTTCCCTACTTGTTGCATGTTTGTGACAGGTGTGTTAGTCTCATGCATGAACAAAACGATCTGTGAGGATTACTGTGTTACCTCAGCATGAATCTTATAACCTTGTTGTGAAATATTATTTCTGTTCTCTGTGTTTTATTTATTTATCGTCTTTATTTACTCTCTTTTTTTTTTTTTTTTTTTTTTTCCTTATCTGTATTCTCAGTGAAGTCAGTGACCGACCCGCCCAGCTGGCATCAACCTGCCTCTCCAGAGAGGAAACGAGTTCCCCGAGAAATTCTCCGAGGCCTCAACTCGTCTCCCACACACACCACCAGTACTCCCTTTCACCAGCAGGGCTACGTAAGGACTTCTTATTAAGTTTCCTTGTCTTCTAAAGAAATAAAAACCCAGCCCATATATCAGCACATGAGTGTTTGGTGGTGAAGTTGTATGCTGCTCTGTGTGTGTTCAGGCTAAGCTCATGTCGGAGTGCAGCGGCAGCATTAACACAGTAAAAAGAGTCAAGCTGATCCTGAATGACGAGGTAGAGCTGGATGATCCGGGGTTGACCAGCAGCACGGCCGACAAACAGACCAGCACAGGTACGTTAGATAAAAACGGCTCAATATAAAAAAATATCCTCCAACATCTGGAGAGTCTTTCGTAACACCTCTTGTTTCTCTGCAGGCGTGATCGAGCGCTGGGAGCTGCTACAAGCACCAAAGTTCAACAAGGAGACGGACATCAAACAGGACCTGGAGCAGTGGCAGAAGCTGAACTCCGACCTCTCTGATGTCACTTCCTGGTTGGGCAGGGTGCTGCCAGAGCTGGAGAGGCTACAACGGATCGCGCCGTCCACGAGCATACGAGACATCGAGGTCAACATCAGGAAACTGAAGGTAAAAAAAAAACAGCAACAGGAGCATAAATCTGTACTTCTAACAACACAACACAACTCAAATGAAGTGTGCTGAAACGTTTATTCCACCTCTGTTCTCCAGGAGATGCAGAAGACTTTCAACAGCTACAAGTGTCTGATGATCTCTGTGAACCTGAGCAATCGTCACTTCCTACGTGGCGACAGCGCCGAGTTGCGGGAGCTGCAGGACGCTCTCAGCTCAGCCAATCACAGCTGGACGCAGGCCTGTGGGGGCCTTGAAAGCTGGGAGAGGAGGTTACACTCAGCGCTAATGCAGTGCCAGGTTAGATGTGGAGACCCTCGTGTATTAACTGTGAATGAAACAACAGAAGCAGTATAATCAGCTGTTTATCACTGTGGTTCAGAAAATGTGACCAAAATGTTTTAATCTTTCTTTTTTTCTTCTTCTTCTCCTCTAGGAGTTTCATGAGACGCTGCACTCTCTGCTCCTGTGGCTCGCTCAGGCTGAGAACAAACTCAGTGCTGTGAATGTCAACGACCTGTCCATATCACACCTGGTCCTGCTGGTGCACCAGAAATCGCTGAAGGTGAGCAGATGACCGATCCCTTCACCCACAACATTCAGTACTTTTTATTGCGTTTTATAGCACCCAAGAGCTTTTTTCAAACCACGGAGTTCAGAGTTTTTTTTTTTAACATTTAAGGACAGGACGAAATTCATGAAAATATCTGGCTTCATACTAAAGATCATTTGGTTTATGGAAAATGTCCTCACATTAAGCACTTTTAGTTAAACAACTTTACTGTCTCAATAAAAAGAAAAAAATCACAAATATGATTTCATGAAATCTCAAGTGGTGTCAACAACCCTACAGGATGCACACACACATCCAACCAGTAAGCAAAAGAATGACGGCTGAAAACCAAGACAGACGTTACATGTTTTTACCATCATTGTCTGCCTTTCTACAAACAAAAACTTTTTTTTTTTTACAAACATTTAAACCCCAAACAAATGAGGAAACCGCTATTTAAAAAAAAAAAACTTTTTAGCAATGTATCCATTGTCTTTAAGTGTTTAGATACCATTGATTTCTCTTGGTGTGCTCTAAATGGGAACAAAAATAAATCTGCACACGCTCACTTTGTGTTCAGAAGATGACTGACATTCTTTTGATCAGAAGAGTTTCAAGTCCTGTCCAGTGTACTGACTCCTGTGCTCTCTGTCGCCCCCTGCTGCCAGGCTCTGCAGGAGGAGCTGCGTGGCCGACAGCGGCAGGTCTCCTCCCTGCAGGAGATCTCCTCTCAGCTCCTCCTGGAGGCCACAGAGGAGGACAGCATCGAGGCCAAAGAGAAGGTCCACGTCATCTACAACAAACTGTGTCTCCTGCTGCGACAGGTGGCCGCTGACCTGCACACGCTGCAGGGAAGACTGGTAGGTCCAGTTTGTCTTTAACCTGCATGAGGGCTCTGCTGTGTAGTTTTCACACACTTGATGAGTGGCTGTTTTTTTCCTAACTACAAAAGTCTGTAAATAGGCAAGCAATCACATTTTAATGAGCTTAAACACTGCACGTCACAGCTGTTTCATTTAAAGACACCAAATGATACTTGGTCGTTGATAAAACCACAATGTCAAGAGCTTAATTTAAATCCTTTTTAATTGTACAATCTTCCAAATACACCTTTTTTTAAGTTTAGACAGTCATATCATGAAACACATCAGTGAATAATTAAAATTATGAAGTCATTCTACGCTCTGATTTTTGCATTTTACCCCAAATAATACCAAAAACCTAACAATTCCGGGGAAGGATTTTATTGGGCGCATGTAAGAGGAAAAATAAGACAATCTCCAACACAAATTGCATTGTGACGAGAAGGAGAGATTCATGCTTTCACTACAATTATTGCATCAGTTCCTTTCAGTAAACGTCCTCAAAATATTGGTACTTGGTACAGATTTAAGGTATTTACTCACAATCTGCCCTCGCACAATAACTACTGATCAAAAGTTGTAATGAATGTTAGTTTATAAAGCTAATTATTACAGAAAACTCAAGACATCTAATTTACAAACTTTGATTTCAGTCTAACTTGAAAATGACATTACTCATTGCTGTGTATAAACATGGTGGCTTTCTGACTCCTCTGTTCAAAGAGGAAAACAAAACATGACTGAAGTTTACCAGTTTAGTGTCTGATGTTCATCTGAATGAAAAATAAAGCATAAATGAAATACTATCAAACATGCTGTTTAAAGCTCTGAACCTGCTTGGTCTGTATTTTTTACGCTCCGTTTGCTTGTGTGTGTCTCAGGAAACCTGCTCGACCAGCTCTGAGATGGACAGCATCGGTCTGGGAACTCTCAGCTCTCCTCTGCTGCTGCACAAGGTACACCTGAACATTCACCTTTACCTTGACTCCCCACGAGCGTAGACATGAAGCTTGATTTGGAGAGGGTTCGTGTGTTAGTTTGAACAAGTTCATGTAAATCAGGTTTTTAGCAACACTATCCTTGAAATATTTAAACCACTGGAGAAAGAGTTGTGGACATTCCTGCATGACAAAGATCAAAAATAGTACAAGCTCTCATCATGCAGATAATGTTTCCTGTAACTGTTTCATTATGACTCATTTATCAGCTTAAGTAGCAGTTTACTGATATATTGTGGTGTTGAGGTTCTTTATTAAATCTGTAACAATGAATCATATTTAACAGGCTTTTTTTAAATGTAAAGTTCCAATTCATATTTCTTCAAAATATGGAAGAGAGTAAAACATTTTCTACACTCATACAAATGAAAGATAAGCCTACTAGACTTAAACATACATTTCAGCTCCAAAAAATATCGTTTGGGGCACCGATAGCTAAGTGGTTAGTGAACCTACCCTTTACCACATGTCATTCCCCACTAGGGTCAAACTTAAACAAGAAGCTAAATAAGATGCTAATACCAGCAAGGCGCTTACTATGCTATTAGCATGTTAACTATGTAAGCTAACCTCAAAGGTTAGTTTAGGCTCTATTGAAACTTTTTAAAACATTGTGACATTTATTGACGCAGATGTGAGAAAATGTTTAGAAGGTAGAAAAACTTAACATCACCGTCTTGTTTGTTGCCGTAGGAGGAGGCGGGTCTACAGGCTGCTACAGTTGGACTACCAGCAACTAGAAGGTAAACTTGTACACAACAGAACTTGGCAACCTTCTTTGTGTATTGTTTTATACTTTATTAAGGCTCAAGTTTCAATTAAATGGTTACCGAGGAACTCTCAAAGACTTCAATAGAGGTGCTGCAAGCAAAAAACAAAAACAAAAAAACAAGCTAACATGTTTTTTTATGTATTTTTTGGTGAATAAAAGCAATAATGAAACTGGTTCTTTTAGGTTCGAAAACCATGGAAAGGTCACGTTGCGTCAGAGTTTATTATTTTTATTCCAGAGCTTTCAACTTTGTCCCACAATTGTCCACTATTTGTAGAATGTGATGAGCAGTTGAAGAATCTGATGAAGTTATTAGGTGGACCTGAATGCTAAGATTAAACTGAAAAGGGATTTGCAAGTTAAAATGAAATTGACCATGTAGCATCTGTCCCCATCCAGGGAGGAGAGGAGGGATTCTTCACCACACCGACCTCTCTTCTATCGAGTTCTTCGAGCTGCCTTCCCTCTCCACCTGCTCTTCCTCGTGCTGCTGGTTCTGGCCTGCCTGGTGCCTCTGTCTGAGGAGGACTACAGCTGTACACTGTCCAACAACTTCGCCCGCTCCTTCTACCCCATGCTGCGGTACACCAACGGTCCTCCGCCCACATGAAAACTGCCGTGACGCCGGTGGAGTGGAGAACTCTGTCTCCAAACTGCTGGACTTAAAACTTAACCTTAACATGGATCCCCTCACAGATTAGGGTGCAAGTTCCATACAGCTTCTACCTTCCATGTAAGAAAAAGATGCACTGCCTTTTATGTCAGAAGGCCTCATCATGCGTGTTTTCTTCACTAAGTTTATGGATGTATTTAAAATTAATTTATTGTTTATGGAATTCAAAAATTCTAAAACAAGAAGCCATATCACTGGTTAGTTAAAGTTTTGCCATTTTTCTATGTAGATTTTCCATCTAACGTCCTCGTCTTCGACACAAAAAAGTCTGAAGATTTATTTTAAAATTCACAAATATTTCAATGCTTCTAATTTCACTTTAGTCCATGGAATCCAGTTTGAAGGACAACAGACAGTTATTACCAAAGCACCAAGTAACAAAGAGTACACTCGCCATTTTTTAACCACTGCAGCAATTTTTCATAAAGGCAGCCACTTGTTGATAGCACATTTTGTACAGGAAAGTTGTTTGTTGTTTGATTGAGAAGTATTTAAAATATAAAGATTTGTAAAATATGACTTTTTAAAAAAAAAAGGATGGCAGTGAAATATCTGAAGACATGCCTTTCTGTAGCCAACAGAACCAGCAGAACTTTATGAATAATGTACTTTTAATGGTTTTGCTGTTGAATTTTGTATATAAAAAGGGCAAACAAGGAAAGAAAAAGTTAAATTATTGTATCTGCATATGACTTTTTGAGTGTGGCACTGAAACCTAAAGAAGTAATTTATAAAGGGCAATAGTTTGAAATGCTTTTATTTCGTAAGTTGTTTGTGGCTTTCAAAGCCATACAGGTTAGTTGCAGTGTATTTTGGCACTCCCTTTTCTGAGAGCCCACATGTTTAAATGAGATATTTTCAAATGTCAAATTTATGGCCAGTGTTTTTGAAAAGGTCACTTATATTTTGGTAATTCACTGAATCGAAAAGTTCAGGCATTAAAGCCCTTACATTAAAGCTGCATTAGGAGATTCTTGACCACCAGGGGGTGAAAATATTATAAACACACTAAGAAGCATACATTTTAAACCAATAGCTAATCAGCTGGTTTAAATAATGTAGCATTACAATGACCTGTGTTCTTCTGTTAAGCTAGTATCTAACTTCTTCCTTTGCTATTAAGCGTACACATGTAGCAACGCCTATTTGTGTCCAATGTCAGTTTTTCTCGCTCCGAGCAAATATGATGTGAATCAAATGCAGCTGTAAAAGCAAACTCGCTGGCTAAAGCTACAGGGCTTAGGAGTCTATTCTCAGTGACTCTGGTAACATTCAGTTTAACTCAATGCATCAATGAATAAATGTCGCCTAATACAGTTTTAAAGGCTGCTATTTTGTACAGTTTAATGTAGCAATATAAGAAGGGAGCAAAAGAGATTTACAGCAGCAAACAAATATCAAACTGCCATTTTAGTACAACATCTTTTCTTGTAATAAAAATATTTATAGGACTTTAACTATCCCCTCTAGGATTAATTGTATGTTGTTAATGACTTACCCAATGCTGTCCAAGCTGTGGTATAACACACAGGTTGGATGAAAATAATTAAAAAAAAAACAGTTTATACTAACCTGAACGCTGATTTCAAACTCTTCAGTCATACAGTTGAAGGACTTGTGTCAAAATGTAACAGGTCAGACTTGGAGTGGAATGTGAATGTAAGTTATCTTTTGGGCTCTGAATGTAGCTGTGTACATGCACAATCAAAGATCATTAACTGTACGTTATTTGCTTTGTTGATAGTATTGATCCTCAACGCTAACCGACTGTATGATTTGATTTGAAAGTGTTTTATCCTTTGTACATAATCTCAGCCTCACACTCAAGAAGGCCAGAAGAACAGGAACAAACAAGAAAAAGTGTGTAAAGTTTGATTTATTTTGTGAACTATTTATGGGATGTATAGTTTGTCATTTTTGATTGACAATAAACAGTGTTTGCCATGATTTATGACTCAATGTTTACTGTATCTGGCAGGCAAACATTTAGAGATTGGTAACTACTACATCCATCCATCCATCCCATCCATTTAATGTAGTGCTTGGGCATCTATCCATCTCTACATAAATCTATCCATGCATCCATACATACATTACATACATGCATCCATCTATCCATCCACACATACATGATGGATATCTTTCCATACATACATGCATCCAATAATCCATACATCCATACAAAATTTGAGTTTGGGAGCTACATACATATACAAGTTTGAACTTGGGAACTGCACAAGCTCTTCATCCAAGCTCCTGAGCACACAGCAAGCACTTTTCTGCTGGGACAAAATTCCAGGGGGAACAAGCCCTAAAGCTAGTCTGTAGTGGTTTTGTTAACAATTTCATTTGATGCATCAATGAATAAAAGTCGCTTAATGTAGTTTTAAACCGACTGTATGATTTGATTTGAAGCTCAAGTGTTTTATCCTTATTTGTACATCATCTCAGCCTCACACTTAAGAGGGCCAGAAGAACACAAAGAAACAAGAAAAAGTGTGTAGAGTTTGATTTATTTTGTGAACTTTTTTAATGGCATGTAAAGTTTGTCATTTTTGATTGACAATAAACCGTGTTTGCAATGATTTGTGACTCAATGTTTACTGTATCTTTGGGTAAGGGATAGAGCTGACAGGCAAAAACTTTAACAAGTGCAGACGTGTGTTTGGTACAAAACAGACAAGAGAAATATTTTCAGCATCAGATTTAGATGTGTTTGTGTGTTTGTTTATGTGTGTGTGTGTGCATGCATATACCAGCTACAGACATCAAGAAAGAAAGGACAGTGAACATGTATTTGTATATTAGCAGTGGTAGGATTATCCGGGACTAAAGTTGGATTTACACTGGTAGAAAAGTGGCACAGCTCGGAGGTGGACATAAACAGAGGACCTAAATGATGCATTAGGGGCTTTGTATCCAATTTTCCAAAACTTTTTCTGTTGCAGCTTGTTAGACCACTTTTTAAAATGTATTTACCTGGATTCTAGAACAAAAGAAATCACCATATCAGCTGTTGTTAAATAATGTTTTTAAGGATTTAGCCAGCTATTCTTCATGTCTGTTAAGCCAAGGATAAGAAAAGGCGAGTTCTCCACAGTTAATTTTCCGCCCTCTTTATGAGTTATCTATATCAGGGAAGTGCATTAAAATCGATCAATTTACTTATGATATTTTCATTTGCTGTCACTTGGCTGAAATATGCTAATAAACTTCAAGTGCAAGCTGAACCAAAACAAGCTAAAAAGGTATTTTTTTACCTTATAGAAGCTGGCTCTACTGTATAGCCCTAAACTTCATGAAATTCCATTGAAGAATGTGCTCAGTATCTTTAAAAATGGCCTTTGAAGCCTTTAAGCATTAGCTGAACGTGTCCTAATCAGTTATTATAAAATAAAATAAAAATAAAGCTTTTTTGAAGCAGTTTGAAGAAGTTCAAAAGCTAGGCTAATCATGCATTTTGCAAGTTAGCTTGTTGTACTACATAGAAATGCTGGCAAGTCAAAACAAATTGGCATGCTAACATTTAGCATATCAGTTTTACTTGCAAACTCAAAAGTACATCTTTATCTGACATAATTCAGTCATTAGTGTTACAAACATCATGTCACAGACTTAGCTGTAAATGTATATTATTTCCCCTCGCGGGATTAATAAAGGATAAATTATTTTTAACTTTAGCATATGTCATTACTGTCAGATTGTTAATTTTTTTTAAGGTGCCTTGCACTTAAAGTAGATACCTCAAGATTGTACACAATTTCTGTTTTGCTAGTGCCAAGTAGTGTAAATTTGCAAAACATGCTAACATTCAGTAGCCAATGTCAAATTTGGCATAGGCTATTAGCTTTCAAGCCCTTGCTGTTAAAATATGGCTTGCATAGCAAAGTAAGCCAGTTAAAATGTAGCAAATAACTTTTGTTTAGATTTTACAGTAGTAAAATTTTACATTTCTATTTGTTATGAGCCTTAGACGTTCAATTTTATAGCCTCCAACTATAATATTTGGAGTCATTTTTGTTATTTTGTTCTTTACAATTTGCTGGGGTAAAGTGTAAACTAAGAACAGATGTGTGCCACTTATGTATCATGTAAATCCAGTTTATGTTTAACCAGATGAACAGAAAGATTACAGCTTATATTAACAGTCAATTGTTAAAAGGCCACAAACTGCTGCATCTGACTCCACTGACACAAGACAGTAGAAAAAAATCCTTGACTAACAGGCACTGATAGAACACTAAGGTATACAGTAGAAGTGAAGGAAATAAACACCATTATATGACATAAGCTACATGACTATTAACCATTTAGGGTAATGGATTTTCACTGTGTTGACTACATGCACATTCCTGTAAGTCATTGCAGATGGCTTGAAGATTGTTCTGGATGTTACATCAAGGTGAAAAACGAGATACAAATACTGTTTATCAAAAGAGAGCTCCAACTGACTGGCAGAGGTTCAGCGATGTCCTTAAGAACACCAACTGTAGTGCACATTCACAAGAAATATTAACGCACGCAAAATATACAATCGATCCAAAACATTTTTTCAAGACTAAAAACATCTCAACAAGAAAAAGAAAACTTTACCTCACAATGGCACTTTGTTTCATGTTTTTATCCTTTTTTTCATTTTATTTTCTCAATCTTTGGGGAGGATGGAAAAACCATTAAGGTTCAGTTTCAGTTTGTCTCTTAAATTCCTGCCACTTCCAGAGCAGTTTCCATGACAACTCGGTCAGGGATGATGTAGTGCATTGATTCCACTGATGGAGCTGCATCTTCTGTATCCATTGACCAGTGCTGTGGATGGATGTAACTGTGAGGAAAGATAAAACAACTATTTACTCAAACAAGTACACGTGAACATTACACAAGCACTGTTATAAATGATCATTTTCAGGTCCAGGTGATGTTTAAAAGTTTATGTTCTATACAACTTTTTAACATCAGGCATTGGACTCATTATTCCCTAAATATATTTTTGTTAAAAGTTGCATATTGTACTCCTTTTTAACCAGTGTAAATAAGTCTCAGCGCTCCCCAAAACATCTCTGTGAAGTTTTTATCTTAAAATCCACTCAGATTCTGTATTTTGCCATTCATATAAACCCCTCTATTTCAACCCTGATCAGAACAGGCTGTTTTGGTGTCTGTAGCTTTAAATGTAAATGAGCTGTGTCTGACCACGTCCCTCTGGATACATGCCATGGGCTTTTTACTGTTTACAGTGAGAAGGCAGACCCAGAGGGCAGAACTGGTGGTATCTGAAAAACATGGTTAAGCGTATTTTGCAGAATATGTGACCTTTAATTGGACTTTTCTTCATCCTGTGCTTTTTTCTTCCATACCCTTTTCCTCTTATTCTTAACACCTGCCTTTCTCTTTCTCTTTGTCCTTCTTACAATTTGTATTTCCTTATTCATTACCTAGGTACTTTCTTTCTTTCATTGTTTTTTTAATTTTTCCTTTTTCCCTTGCTTCCTAAAGCCTCCTTTGTTCTATATTTTCACACTTTGCTACAACGTTCACTTCTACAATCTTGCATTCATTCCTCTCTAATTTCTTCACTTACTCATTTCTGTCCATGGCCATGTGACTCTGGAACAGAGGCGGGGACTGGAGGGGCAGAGCCTGGAGCTGTTCATCCAGGATCTGGCCTTCAGCGGCTCCATGTGCAGATACATTGCTGTGGTCAGCGGTGGTCTGGTCAGATCCCGGCTGCAGATTTGACAGATGTTGTGGGTATTGGTGCTGGTCAGAGTACATGTCAGAACTCGGTGAGGATGATGATTGGTTGCTGCTGCTGGATGTGTTGGCATCAAGCATCTCCAAGAGGAGGTCGTACACCAGCACCACGTTCTTCCTCTTCATGGTGGACAGATGGTCCATGCCTTTGTTACTGAACAGAGAGGGAAGATTTCAAAGAGTGATTCATATGTCATGTAATTTGGTTAGAAAAAAACGGTTTAAAAAAATTCTTACAGTTTTGGCCATTGTTTTAGGCTTTATTCTTAGATTCAAAGCAGCTAGCCACGTGGTTATGTCAAACACCGAATGAAGATAGTCCTTGTTGCAAGGGTTCGAATCCGACATTGACCACTTTGCTCCATGTCATCCCCCACTCTGTCCACCCAATATTCCCTGTCTCTCTTCAGCTTTCCTCTCTAATAAAGGCTAAAAGGCCACCAAGTATCTTGATGATTTGATGATTGAATGTCCCACATTATTATCCAATATTAGAGTCATTTGTTGTTTGATCTCAATAAATTACCATATCCTATATTTTTTGTAATGTATGATGAAACATTAATGAACGTCAAAAAAAAGAAGTAATTTTTCATAACTTTTGCAGGTGAACTTAATTTGACAACGATGGAAATATTAAAATGTAAGCTTACGAGTAAGGTTTTTATCCAAATTAACGTCCTTATTAATAACCATGTTATTCATGCTCCCTTTACTTAATTGATTGACTATTTTTGCTAATTAAATTCCTGGTTTTTGAGCTGTTGTAACAAGAAAATTTCCCCCAATGAGTTATCAATAAAGTTTATCTTTCGATAGAAATTACTATAATAAATAGTAAATATTTAATAGTCATATTTGAGCATGGCTTTTTATTTATAGACTGAACCTGACCCAGTTAGGATCACCAAAGATTTAGACATTTAGTGGAAACACAATCTGCATGACTTAAAAAAGTAAAAATACATTTAGATCTAAGTCTTTTAAAATGTTTCTTTTAAAAAGAAAATCTGTTTAGTTGCTTGGAGCTTGATAATTTGTGTTATTACTTTTAAAAAGCATTCTGTTTTTGTGTATCTCCATGTGAAACACTTTTATGTTCTTTTGGTTCTTTTGAAAGTAATGATAAAGTTTAAAATATTATATTATAAATACATAGTTTGTATTGATTCTCTTTAAAGTGAATGAAACACATTTCCTTGATGTGTCCATCATTCAAAAAGTTATCTTTTTATTATTATGATTAATAATAATCATAATAATAATAATAATAATAAATTAGATTTATGTAGCACTTTTCTAAATACTCAAAGGAACTTTTAACTGTCCTAATTTTTAGTGCTTATTCATATGTAAGTACACAAACACCTATTAAGAAAGAGCATTGATTCATGTTCAGTACGTTTGTTAAAGTGAACTGATAAATAACGTAGATTTAGAAGAAATAAAGTTGGACGTTTTATAAATGTCTAGGAGTATGTGTTGATTTTTCATTCTCTTCTCTGTAATCTCTGAAGAAGTTTACGTTTTATTGCCGTCTCTACCTGACGTGGCGGATGTGGGAGAGCAGCATGGTGAGGTGTCCGAGGCGCAGAGTCTGCTGCTGGGTCGACAAGCCCAGTTTGGAAATGGCCCAGACGAGAGCATCAATCACAGAGTCCAGCAGACGCAACAGCTTGTTCCTGCTCTCCTGCTCCTCTGGTGTCTGCGGGGAGTTCGTACACAGATCTGAAACACACAACACAAAAAGATTTTCATCTTCATCATACGCAGTCTGAGAATCAGCAAACATAATGACATACTTCAACCAAGACTACTAACAATGCTTCATATGAACACAGCAGACTGAAGCTTGAATGTGATAACAATCCTGTAAAAACAGAAGCTTTTTCTTTGTAGTTTAAAACTTCTGAATCGGACAGTAGGGATGTTATTATACACTCATCTTACAATACAATACAGTAACAATATTGGGTTCAAAATACAATATCAGGATTTCTAATGTTTTTAAAGACATGACATTGAAGTCAAGTTTTGAATTCATATTTTTATTGCATTTCCCTGACAACATAAATGCAAAATATCAATTTTCCTTTGATTTCCCTTAATGTTCATTTTTTTAATTACTGATAAAACAATGTTTATTTTCTCTTTTCAAAATGTGACACAAATTATAATATAGTATTAAAAATATGATTGATTAAAATAACTGAATAACCTTTTTAATAAAAAGGGTTGCACGCATTGAAGAACCTTTTTAAAGTTTTTAAAAGTCACTGAATTTTTCTAAACTTTTTGTCACCCTACACAAGTTTTTAATCTCGTTTCACGTGTTAATCGTCGGCCCAAACCCTTCAAATGCAGATGCAACTCGCAAACTATCTATTACACTTTTTTAGGCAAACTGGTTTTCCAGACTGCTTCCCATCAGTTACTCAAAGTTTTGTGTCTTAGGCTACACAGTGTGGCACCGTTTTACAGTTTGCATCTTGTTGGTTGGGCTATTCGTGCAATTTATCCGTCTCTTGCCATAAAAGCCGACTGCTCATAGCCCAGTTAGACATCTTCAAAACAATGTTACATGCTTTAATGCAGTTACCTTTTCGCCAAATATCAAATATTTAACAGGAAGTTTTGGTCCAAAGTTGTTTAAATTTCTGCTACCTTGTGTAACAAGGTGAACACTGATTTTTATTTATTTATTTATTGGCCCTCAGTCAGTAACATGTATTCAATGCTTGTTGGCATTTCCTGTCCTCTTAATATAACTGCGACTATCTATGTTTCCATCCAACTCCTGACATTAAGTCAGTTTAAATCCATTTGCAATGTTTCTTGAATAAACTGTTAAAATCACTTCAACATCTGGTTTTAGAGCTGAATAAGCCGTAATGACATCTTGATGGACTTTCCAGATTTAACCTTAGGGGGCAGTAGAGAGGGGAAGCAGTACATCAAACTGTACGCCCAGACAGACTGAACCCTGATGTTCCCTCCTTCCAATTTTTTAATCCTTAAATTCCCTCCACGTTCGCTTTGACTTCTCTGACTCGATTTCACTTCTTTCACAATTTGTCCTTTTTTTTCGCTCCAGCTGCAGCCGAGGCGAGTCAACAGAGAGAACAGAGTCTGGAAAAGATTCAGTGTGTGTGTATGAGCGTGTGCGTGTGTGTGTGACGGTGTAAGGGAGGAACTTTTTTAAACTTTGCAAGGACACGCAGAGAGGTCAATCACCTCGATGAAACCTGTACAATGTCTGCCGCTGGTGATTGGTTGGGGGTTGGTGAGTCGGGGGTTTGAAGGGTGCTGGGAGAGGACACAGTGACCGCTGGGAACACATGAAAGGCCAAAAACAATAAAGTCCATCTTCACAGGTCATTTCATCCAAAATCTTATTCAAACAAGCTGAAAGTTCAGCTGATCCAACCTTGTGGGAGGATCACTTTTAATTAAATCACATGGAAGACAGTGTAACCCTGGAGTACAGTACTTTAAAAGGTCATTGATATAGTTGTAAAATGGATTTTATTGTGAGGTTGACTCAGACAGAACTTTAAATCAATGAAATACTAGAAAACTTAAAAGCAACCAGACAGCGTACTGGGCACTGAGGCTGCCTAACCGCCAAGGGAGGGGGGGGCTCTAAATGTTTTTGCTTCACGTCCATGTTGCTGTTGTTCCGTCCATGTTAATATACAGTCTTTTTTACCAACAAATGATAAAGATCATTTGTGAGAGTAAAACATCATGATGTGTCTTTTCTTCCCAATAAGACCAACAGCTTATATGTTACAAGTTCGGAAGAATTTCCTGAAGTATAATATGTATATTAAATATGTTGAGTCTCTCTACATCAGTACCTTCAGTTTTTGGAGAACCATTCTCTAAAGCATGGTTTTCAGTGACACAGCACTAAATCGGCGTCCATTTTTGTACTCTAAATCTGAGTTTAAGAGCTGTGAGCAAAAAAAATTGCTTTTCATATTCTTTGCATGTTATGGTTGAACTTTGCACAAAATTTAAAAGGAGATATGATAACCCAGATATCCCGGAACTGCAGCTAACGGACTAACAAAAAGGGTAGAAAATTGTACATATACAGAGATAAATATTTGGATACAGTGATTTAAAGAATGATTTTAATTAAATGTCTTTGCTTTAAGTGAAAAGGCACATTAACCTACATCATGACACTCGTAAAATAATTAGGATGGTTCAGTTACAAAAGAGCAAAGAGACAAACTTATCTGGGTTATGTAAGAGTAAAAAACACACACTGATGCCCTAATAGGACCTAAAAAGGTCAGTAAAAACTCATCTATCTCAGAGGGAATCAAGTTCAAACTTAGTTTTGTCTGTGTCATAGAGACTCACTGGAGTTGAGGAGGATCATGGCCTTTAGACAGACATACTCCTCCCGCTGAAGCTTCAGCTCACGAAACCGAGAGGTGGCAGCGAGCAGCATGTCAAAGATCTCCATGATGCCCTCCACACACTGTCCCTCCTCCCTACAGAGAGACAAACAGAGGGGGGTTGAAACGGAGAACATGGGAAAGAACAGTGAGAGTGAGAAAAACAAAGAAGAGAAACCAAAGAACAGAGAAGATGGAACCAAAGGTTCAAACAAGAACCATAATCGAAAGGCAAAAAGAATATGAGCTTTGACCTCAGTATTGTTGTAATGTCAAAATCCGTATGGTCAAAGGTTATTAGAATTCAAGAGAAAAATGTATAAAGTGAAAAGAATTATGAGAGAATGAAAAGGACAGTAAAGGAAAAAAAATCAGAAGCCAAAAGACAGAAAATGTGAAAATCTAAAAAGTAAAAGGGCAAATATAACAGAGGAGAAACAAGTACAGTGGTTGGAGGTAAAGCATAAAAAGAGAGTTGAATAAAGAGACAAAATTACTTGAGTGAATTGATGGATTTGCATCCAGGATGTTTCCCTGTCCTTTCCAAGGAGAAAGAGCTACTGCTGCCTCACAGGGATCATTCAGCAGAGAAAAATAACACTATGTTATGAAAACAAATCAAGGTTAACCTAAGCCTATAGTGATAGTTTCCGTGGTAGTGGAGGAAGAACGATCAAACGCTTAACAGAAACCCCCACTATAGGAAAGACACTGCGGCCGTTCCTGGTTCTAAGGTCTTCATTTGTTTGATGTTCTATAATTTTTTCTATATTTTCCATCTTATCAATGAATCCAAGGACTGATAAGTTTTATTTCCTGTTCCCTTGGAGCTCTGTTGCTGTAAAACACATTAGGCACCAAACAATTGAACCCCTAAAAAAAGCAACAAAGCTACAAGCTTGCTGATTGACAGTTAGCTAATTGTTAGCTATGGTTTAAGACCATACACAAAAAAACAACTGATTTATTTGATTTATTCTGGCATGCTCCTCACTCACAAGATAGCAAATAGGTTTCCATAGGCATACATTTATCTTTGTGAAGGACGGCAGTTTAGCAACTAAGCTTGCTGAATGACAGTTAGCTAATCATTAGCATGTTAAATACCATATACAAAAAAAGAGCCTCAAAAAACCTGTTAGAACGGATTTATGCTGGAGTGTTCCTCGATAACAAGTGTGAGTGTGAGTGTGAGTGTAAGTTGTTAGCATCAATGCTACAGTAGTAGCCACTTGGTAGCAGTGTTGAAGACTATGCTTAGTCTTTAGAGAACTTATTTAAAGAATGTTACAGAACAGTAGTGGATAGCAAATCAGTTTGGACACAGTAATCTGTGTGGAGGTAGGCTCTTTAGCACCTAAGCTAAAGGCTTGCTGACTGACTGTTGCCAATTGTTAGATTTAAATCATAATGAGCGCTCTGGCTGTTCTCTACAGGAAAGTAGAGATAAAGGATGTGAAATCTGTAACCGTTATCATACCTGGAGCTATGACGTTACCGCACAGTGTAGTGCTACAGGCTACAGGCTACGAGCTAAAATCGTCCACAAATCACAAACCAAACTCAATTTCTGCCGTCAATGAAATGCTTTATCGGTTTACTAAAGTGCATGACATTTTGACCGATTTTGACACACTATGCTAGCAACATTAAAACGAGTGCACAGGCTCAGCTGCTCTGCACATGTATTTTTGCATACAGTGCTGCTCTCTGCCAATGAAGGTTCACTGTGTAAGAAGAGTGAGTACACAGACTGTGATAACAATTAAGACAGTTTGTGTTTTTATTCTTTTTTTTTTTTTTTAAACAAAGTTGGGAAAGCCTGATGCTGCCTTACACATTAATGGTTCCCAGTCTCATCTGCACATTGAGAAATATATGTTTGTTATCGGTATAAGCAGATACCCAAAGTTCAGGTATCACACCTGTGTCGGAACATAAAAAGTTCCCTAATTGAAATGCAATGGAACAATGCATTTAGATAAAATGCTCATTCAAAATATGTATCAATCTGTGTTTGTGTAAATTTGACATGGCTGTGCACTCTGTTGCATGCTTTTTACACAAGCTCAGATCATAACAATTACTGGCAACAACCTGGACTAGACTTTCTGTCATCAAATGTCTTCACATTAAACACTAAAAGGAAACCTGGCCCTTTAAAGCTTCATTACTTTCTGACAAATCACGGGGAAAATGGTACACTGGTTCATCAGGTAACGCAAAGTGCTGGTGGAAGTGGTAGCTTGATTACAGTGTATTTACCATGAATACAAAAGGTGAAATAAGATTGCCGGCTGTCTGGCCAAAGTTGAAGGTCAGTGTGGAAGGGAACATCAAGTGATAAAAGATTTTTGGCAAGAAAAGCAACCAGCAGGAGAATCAGAGATAAATCAGCAGCAAATGTTGGTGATATCTTTACTGCTCCAAGGTCTGATTGAACTCCCCCGTTTATTGTGTGATGTCAGCTCGTCAGCAGAGTGTAACAATGTGGGAAGATAACGCTGTAACCAACAACACTGTTATGGCAAACATGTGGTAGCTGCACACAAGACCCCCTTTCACAAAGAGCAGTTCATCAAGAACCATAGAATTTCAAAATAGAGGCTGCAGCTTCTCTTCACCTTGAGTTCAGAGAAAACCAGGCCTTTATTTAAAACACTAATATCACAGCAGTTTATTTCTGACTTCCAACACTGTCATGTAACGCCCTAGGTCGTAGAAGAAATATTATGATGCAAAAGACTTTCTGCTTGCAAAAGCTTACAAGCCTTAGCATGTGGGAGTGGAAGACAAAATATTTTGCCAAAAGCCTGTCGAACAAAAACTTTCTTTTTTACAGTGACGTAAAAGCTGCTTAAACCCTGAACTGAAAAGCTGATGACTTTATGTATAAAAGGAGCCAAAGCTTGCTCACCTGTTGAGTTTGAAGTCTGGAGAAAAGATTAGTTTTCCAGGATGATCCACAGACCTCCACATCAGGCCCAGCATCAGAATCTCCAACCAGCAGCACTTCAGGAGGTGGATCTGATCAGCTAGACTCAGCTCAACAAAACCTGTGTACATAAATATTACACACAGAAAAAAAAAAGGTTAGCCTGAAGAGCTAAAACAAGACGCAACATATAACACACTCTATTTTCCCTGGATTTAGAGGTTATTTTAGTATCTGTAACATATTTAGGCAGGGTATTAAATGCAACATCAGCATCAAATAACTTAGGACACAAACTCCTCAGGTAACCCTTAAAAAACACAAGAAAAGTAACTTTTTTTTGTGGGAGATTCTTTCGGCAGTATACATTTAAAAAAAGGATTATGAGAGTAAGCCAAAGAACTGTGTATCAACACAATGAACAATTGGGCTTTAAATGTCCACATTTAGTATGCATCTGAGGCATTGAATTTATAGAACACGACAACGGATTGGAGTTGTAATTTGACTTGACACATGACGGATGATAAATCCAACAGTTCACATGAAACGGGCAGAGAAGTATTCACATGCGTGATACGCAATAGAGTTTCCACACTATTTTAAATACCTTCTATTTGTTAGGACACGTCTTAGCCCAAAAACACGGAGACAATCATACAGCTGTGCTGGGTTAGGCTACTGTATGTTCATGTGGATAGATGCTCAATCATTTTAATGACAGACATTTAAAAGCAAGGATGAAATTCAGCCTTACTGATAACAACACTCTGACATATACCTTCCTAAACCCTCTTGAGTTTATCTACATCTCGACTTCAGATGATGAATTGGAACTTGTTTAATGGAATACTCCAACACTTACATCTGTGATATGTATTTCCTTTATGGGAATAATGATGATAAATACAGGCCGCAGGCAAGGTTAGTTAATCCTTGCTCGATTAAAGGTGTCTTTCAATAATAGAGCAAATAGACACAAGGCTGCCTGCTTTATGTGCGGCAAGCCTACATTAGAGGTATTTACAGACCAACTTCACTGGTTCAGAGGCAGAACTCACTATCTTAAAGGTCCTGTATTACAGTGGTTTCGCATTAATAAATGCTTTGGTGTTTGCGAGTCAAGTCAAGTCAAGTCAACTTATTTATATAGCACATTTATAACAGCCGAGGCGGACCAAAGTGCTGTACAGTAAATCAGGCAAAATACATTGCATCCAAAACATCATAAAAACACGTAAAAGCAAAAATTAAAAGTGAATTAAAACACAAAACAATAGTAAAAGTTCTAGTAGACACTGCTGCTGGGAACACTCAACTAAAGGTAAAAGTCTGACAGCGAGGGCTGACAGCTGTCACTCACGCATCAAATATGCAATCAGTGGGAATACAATGAGCAGCCCGTATCAATACCATGATGTGCGTGCAGGTGCTGTCACGCAGCCAGCACACTGCTAAGGCTAAAAGCTAGGCTAAACATGTTTGATGATTTTTTACTCAAGGCACAGAGGAGCAAGATAAAATGTATACAAATCTTTTAATTGGATTGTTTGCAACAAACAGCACTGCTGATGAATCTAAACCCAGTAAAGAAGGGTTTAAAAAGGGGCCAATTAACTTTTACAAGTCATAGACAGATACACAAGAGCCCTAATCTCTAAAAGCACTACTAGAGCAGTTAACAAAGACATAAATCGAACAGCAACTAGGCCTTTTGCCTGACAGCGCTTTGCACACCTGTCTTTGCCGTCTCAGATCTTTTATAAAGCTGTGAATGCACACTAATTTTCACTTCTGTCAGAGAAAATCATCTTTATTCCGAAAAAACTGGGAGTCTTTGTGATCCCCTCACATTTACACCTCTTCTGGGGAGTGACCTGCTGAGCAGCACACTGGCTGAGAGGGGAGGGGAGGGGAGAGGAGGGGAGAGGGTGGAATCAGTGACAAAAGCAATAGAAGATGAGTCAGCCAGAAGAAGAATATTAATTTAGATTAGACCTTTAAATTTAGATATAAAAGGTTAATGATCAAGTTTTACAACTGTTTTCCGTCAATCATTGTAGCCATTAGCTCATGTAATTGTGTATTTTAACAACATGCCCAACGTATGACAAATAGTTCATATGGACACGGCCTGTTTACTGTAGCCTCAGGTTTGTTTTTACCTGTAAAACCTTCAGTGTGGTTTCCCTGTTTTCAGAAGCCCAACTTCCACACATTGTTGATGTTGACAAAGCCAAACGGCTTCCATTGACCTGGTCTCATTTAACAGAGAACACATGGCTTTAATGATTACCCTGACCTCGACCTTGAAATGGCTCTTTACCTCTGCAAGGATTTAGTAAGTTAGACAGTGAATTCAGTATCTTGATTAGGTAACCGTCTGCACTGAGAAGGGAGCACTTCAAAGTGCTATATATCTAAATATAATTTTCCAAATGAAACACTAATGAACAGGAAATGCATTATTCTTTATTTTTTTTCCCATATTCCATTTATTTTCCAGGTTCTTATTTCATGGTGGATTGAGTATTCTTCGATATAATCAATAGGACATGATACAATAGAAAAAAATACAATACGATACTAAACGATATGATACGTTAAGATATGTTACAATACCTCAAAATCCCATATGATCCCATATGATACAAAGCAATACAATACTGTACAATTCCTCTAAGGGAAATTTGTTGTCTTGCTATAAGCTCAGCAGTTTTTCTAAATGGAGTGTGGAGGCAAGGAGTGCCATCTGTAATGTCAAGTGGAAAAAACTAAAACACTAGTAAATATGCTTTTATTTATGGTTGAATAAAAACTGGATGTAAAATCAGCTTTGTTTTTTAAGCACATGTTGAATATAGTTAGATTATTTTATATTGTTTGTTTTATGTATTTCAATACCAAATCTGATCTTAAAAATCAATTATTAAAATGAAATTTTAATTCTAAGATTTTTAAATCGAAAATATACAGTATCTTACAGATAATTTGCTTGAGCTGAATACTGTTCACATCACAGTCATGCCTCCTATGTTAACAAATTCAACTTGACAGTTTTGATCTTACCAGGGATCTTTTTAGCCCAGCTGATCATGAGGACCAGTTCTTTGTCAGCCAGGTTTGTGAGGGACATCATCATGCTGGCCTCGGTGAAGGGCTTCTTTAAGTCCTCCATGAGGTAGATCTCCGGAGGCTCTGCCTCCATGATGCGAGAGATGAATTCCTCTGGGCTCATGGCTGCATGGTGTACATAGTTCACCTGAGGGATGGGGCCGACTTGGGCTAGGGGACCCTCTAGGTGGAGATGCCGCTGGGCCCGTGAACCCGGCCCCACCCTGACTAAACCTCTGCCTGCGGTATCCCGAATCTGGAGGCCACCACGGCGGTGTCGGGTTCCTCGATAACTGCAGCGTTCGCGCCTTACACCTTTTTAGAAAAAGACAGGGAAAGTAATGGACAATCAAATGACCCATGATGTCCCTTTGTACCTCATGTGAGATGACATGATGAAATGTTAGTCAAGTAGACATTGCTTTACCTAACAGTCATCCCAAGGAAAGTATCCTATTTTTACAAATAGGGGATACATATTTTTCTGGAAATCTCTGTTGACAAAATTGCTGCATGATTTCAAGGGCAGAGTGCCACTACCTGGAATCATCTACAGAAATCTACAATGAAGAAAATCAAAGATTTTGACTGCTGTCCAGACTCAAATCTGGACATTAAGACTCTTTACAGGAAAAGAGATATATTTAATTTGAATTGCATTATTGATCTGTGCGATGCTTGTCTTTAAAATAAAGCATAAAACCAAACTTTCAATGAATATAAAGATGAAGAAAGATATAATATAATCTCTCTTCTATTCTGCAAAGTTTTGAAAGACTTGGTGACTGCATTGAATACCCTGAAATTGGTTTACTCTTAACCATTAAAAGAACAGTTTGACATTTTGGGAAATAAAGCAATTCACTTTCTTTCTGAGAGTTTGACAAGAAGATTGATACCTCACATGCAGTATATGCCCTTTAATATGAAAATACACCAAAGGGGGGGGGGTAAGCTTTGCTTAGCATGAAGACTGGAGGCTGAAAAGAACAAAATTGCCTCCCCCTGCTTAACTTCATGCTGAGATCATGCCACTGAAATAGATCTTAAATTTGAGTGTTTTTCCGAAAGAAAAGGTTAGCCGAAATATCCTGATCAATTGTTTTAAATTGGCATTATGGTGAGTCAGATTCTGTGTGTTTTCAGAGGTCTCACAATCATAGTTATAATGGGCTCACAGGTAGAACTCTTTGGGCTTTTCTCTTTAACTGCTTGAACTTTGGTGGTGCTGTAGCATGACAAAATATCAAGCACTTACCACATTTCATCATGCCCACTTCGTAGCATTTACGTAGGCGGCAGGCCTGGCAGCTTTTACGCCGGTTCTTGTCAATAGTGCATTGATTTGTTGCGGGGCAGATGTAGTCATTGTGCCCTAAAAAGTAAAGTTCAGACATAAAGTGGAATTATTTCCTTATTGAAAAAGGAGGAGTAAAGGTTGATTTAAAATGAATAGAAAGACAGAGTTGACACCTTGGATACTCCTCTTGAAAAAAGCCTTGCAGCCCTCACAGGACCACACGCCGTAGTGATACCCCGAGGCGTAGTCGTGACACACAGCACAGAAGTGCATGTCGGTTTTCCCTACTGCAGATGAACACGAGGAGGAGTTCACACCATCCACTCTCTCCTCTGATCTCTTCCCCAGCGGCTTGTTACAGCCGAGGATGGAGCTGCAGGAAGAACCAAAGACTCTGTGAAAGAGGAACAACTTGACATTTGGAATTTTTTCCCATCATTTGGCTATTATTACTCTGAAAGTAGCTGCATTTCTGTCAACAGGAAAATAGCATCCGAAAACCTCATCATTGAGATGTAATGGGTATATATCTCCAGCATTCATCGCAAGTGCCATTATGAAAACCATCTGATACCACACAGTACATTTATATGATACACTTCAACAAAAAATGAAGAGCAGCTGTAGATTTTCTGTGTTAAGATCAAATCTATCTACTAAAATCACATGCATGAGTGAATTAATAATCCTCCATTTTTAAGTTTAAGAAGGACTTCATTATTTAGTGCCACCATGCTGTCTTTCCTAATATGCAATGAACATTTTAGATGTATCCCTTTGACTACATAGAATAAATAGGTTCAACACCAAAGCTTTTACTTTGAGGATCTCACAGTGATGTAGGAGACTACTCGAACTGTTGCCAGTACACATCACAAATAGGAGTCGTTCTAAGTGTAACAGACTTTAGACTTTTGTGTTAATAAGTATAATAGGACACATTTTCCTGTCCCATAAATGACAATATAAAGAATAGTCCACTAATCTCTATGCAAGAAAACACTAAACAGTTAAAATTGAGCCATTTATTCAAAAATGCTAAACACTGTGCAAAACCATATTGACTGTAGCCTATTTAATTGCTTTTTTTTAACCGTTCATCACATTCTTCAATGACAGAATGAATGGCTATTCTAAATGCAGCTGAAATGTGTGGCCCTTTGTGACTTGTACTAGTAACAATGTCAAATTGGTTAGAGTTGTTATAGGCCATTTTAACCTGACATAGACCAAATATGAGATGCTGTCAACTGTGCTGGTTAACAGCCAAGTGGTGGATTGGGGAGAGAAGGCCCATTAACCAGAGCTACAGCCCGAGTGGCTGCGTTACAGATATCAAAGATCATCAAGATTAAGCGATTCAGATTTTTTCACTTAAGATGCTATCAATCAATGCTAATTACTTAAAGTAGATAACACATTTATAAGGTCTCTTGTACAAATATTTAACCACGTTTGCCAAAAATGTTATAACAGCTAGGGGTCAAAGATTCAAGAGGTTCATTTAAAAAGGAAGGCTTGTCATTGCTGAGCATTTATCTTAAAACTATCAGAACCTCAGAGTGTCTCTGTTTTTTTGCATTTATGGTATTCACCAAACATCAGTTTTTTACTTTACAATTTCTATCCATGCATCAGTGTCTGTAAACCTACCTGCTGCCGTTGAAGCTGTGCGATTTGGGCTCCAGCCAGGGGGCCTGTAAGCCGGGTTCATTGTAGACGATAGGCTGTGGGCAGCGCAGAGTCAGTGAAGGCATGTTGGGGTGGCTGTGGGGAGGCCAGAAGGCTGATGGACTAAGGGGGGTGCACAGAGATGATGGACTTTCAGTGACGGGCGGCCTGGCATAGGTCAGCACAGATGGGCTGTAGAAGGTCAGTGGTCCATGTCCGTGGTTGTACTCGTGGCTATTGTCCGTGTATGGAGAGGGGATGTAGACCGTGTGGCTGTCCATGCCCCGAGGAGAGGTGTACACTGCGGGCAAGAGACCTGGGGAGCCAGCCCTCTCTGAGGCTTTGCCGGAGTCGACCTCCTGGAGCTGAAGCAGAGGTAACGTGTCAGTGTCTAGCCCTGGGGAGGAGGCCATGTCAGACGAAATCTACTGCGTAAGGTGACAAGGATGAAGAATACGATGATGCAGCTGGTTCCTTTAATGCATATTCTGATGTAGAACAGTCCTGTGAAGGAGAAATACTGGAATGTTTAAATCATCAAAGTCAAATAAAAAGTACCGTAGTCACAAAATCAGATCCATCTAAGGCAAATTTGATTTCAAAGTTATTATTCAACAGATAAATCAAAATTGAATTTGGTTGAAAAGTCAAAGTTTTGGCGTTGTCTAAAGGAATGTTCAAATTGATTGCCATAAGTCTAATGAATAACAAAGAACCACAATCAATCAATCAATCTGTATTTGAAAAGCGCCAATTCATAACAAATTGTATCTCAGGACACCTCACAAAAGAGCAGGTAAAAGACCTTACTCATTGCTATATTACAAAAACACAGCGTTAATCCCACCAGTGTTGTTTTTTTTAACCCCAAAGGACATTCAGGATAACTGCATAGAAAAACCAAAGATAATGGTATGCTATGTTCAGAGAGCAAATCAAGAGCCTGCTGCTGCACGTGCAGACAAAACGGCACCTGTCAATGATTGAATGGAACTTCAGGAAACACACCTCACTGCAGGAACTATTCCAGAAAAGTTCCTAGAAGGTGAAGAGTTTTACCTGCTCTTAGGCCAGGTGAACTGGAAGTAAAGCTCTAGTTTTGTAACTCCTGCCCCTAAAGGAGCTGGGGAAAAGCTTTGGTTGGTATTATTGCCATGTACAGTGTTCAATCAAATATCAGCCACGGGATTGCTAAAACTCAATTACACTGCAGAAGCACAGCAATACATTCCATTCATTATACTTGTATTTGTCATATCATTAATTTTTTGTCTTTTTGAGTCTTTGCTAAAACCACTATCAATACTTTTCTATTATTTGGTGGAAAGAGGAGATGCCAATATGCTTTTAACAGAACAGAGAGACAATATGTGCAAATTTCTAAGTAGTTCCGGTGAAGCCAGCGGTTAGGTTTAAACAACTTTTAGGTAAGATCTCCTTTTCTTTGCAGTGTTTTATGGCTACAAAATATTGGTCAATAGCCACAGATCATCTGTTGAGTCTCAGATCAATAGTTCGAGTTTTACAGGTTTAGTTCAGCAGTGTGAGCCCGGAAGAGAAACCAATTTTCTTGTTATTTAATCTGAATTAACAGGAAATAATTAAGACACAAAAACAACAATTAAAATATGAGCGATAGTCTCTTTTTCAAACACTTATTAAAACGTTTCAATTTGAAGTATGTTCGTGTAACTCAAGTTGCTACTATACTTTCCATCCACAGAGCATTTTGTTGGATGCAATGGTGGGATTTGTAGTTTTTAGCAAAGGAGCTGGTTTCACCATAAGCTATCAGGAAAAGCTTTTAAAAAATATCTGAAATATGAAATTGCTTACTGAAGTTAAGATAGCCAACGACACTAGGTAGAACATTGATGGTGAGTAAGCGTAAAGTCATGAGGGTGTCACCTTCCCAATCCAGAAATGGAAGGCATGTAACACAGATATCAGAAATCAAAACCAGCAAGAAAACACTAAAAAAACACATGGGTTAAATTAAGATTGAAGAAGTAAAAACCATATCACATAACTAGAAGATAGATGACCAGACAAACAACGGCTTTTAAAAACTTGTGATTTTAGTAGATTCTGAAAGTCAATCAACACAGGAAAAAAAAACTGCTCTCGGACGTAACGATGGCAGTTTGGAACCAAACACTTTGTTGGTTTTTCTACAGTTTTTATTTGCTGTAATGTGAATCTAGAATGGACAGGTGACACTTTGCCAAACAGTCTTATGGTCAGTGGCTTTAACTGTCAATATGTTTCCCACACATGTCAGGTCAGAGTGGCCTTCAGGACAACAATGCATTCTTATCTGTTCAACCCAAACACAGGGTGCAAATACAGCCACTGTACACTGTATTTTAGGGACCTGATTTTACGTCATCATTTCTTGGCTGAAAACATTAACAGGTCAACATGATCTCACCACATTAGCTGAACAATCTTCTTGAACTGAACTACAGCCGAGTTGTTGAAGTTGCTATTTAAGTCAAATAATTTAACCTGACAATGTTCAGTAACTTATCACATTTTGCCTGTTGTCCATTGTGTTGATGCTAAACACCAAAGCTTGTACTGTAAACTCAGGTTACACGGAACCGTCCGGCCTACTGGGAGCTTGTATAATCTAGATGACCAACTACTGGTTTTGATAAATGTGATGGAGCTTTCCCACTTGTATTAACTTCTGAAAATGCCCTGATATTTTTAGGGGTAAGCTGCATATGTAAAGACAAAGAGGCAAAATGTTCCAGTCTTTACTCTATTCTAAATTTCACGTTATTACACATTTTCCTGCCAGCCTCTTGGTAACTTTTCCACATGAAGCTGGGGTGAGCGAATGTGACAACGAGGTAGAAAATATTCAGGAAAATTCATCGCAAGCAAGAGGGAGGGGGTGTTGATTTTTATATCCTGCAACCAACAAATTATCATAGAATGTTTGCACGACAACCATGTGATCTCCATATATGTAATGAAACTGCTTCATTATGCTTTCTGCTCACCAGTAAGTTCTTCTCCGCTAGTTTGCTTTGGATTCCATCGCTTTGTCTGACACTTTTACGGTTCTAGTCAATAACCATGCAACCATCCAAGTAGCTGTAGAACAACCACAATGGCTGATGTTGGAGTATTTTGACTGGCATGTCTCCCAGTCAGCATGCTTTGCAATAACAGTAAGAGCCAATTGGAGCAGCAACCCCACCATATCTTCTGTCCACAAAAACATTAATTGTTAGCATTTTTTTTATTTTTATGTTTGCACCTCACTGTCAGTATAAGAAAGAGTATGTGTGCATGCATGTGTTGTTTCAATTCATAGTTACACCGCCAACTTCTGGCATGGCATGTATACTACAGCGTTTTTTTTAGTCCTCTTACGGTCCTTACGGTGATTGCTGCCCATAAACAGAAGTTGTTGTTTTTTTTAAACTAGCAAAAAATAATTTAGTTTCTGTGTACATATGGCCTAAAAACATCTGAAATGTGTGAAAGCATGACCATTATAGCCAGGGTGGTTTAAGTAACCTGAGGTGGTGGTGTGGATAACCAAACAAATAAAAACATTTTGTATGCAGAAATTAGCCTGATTTAAAATATTTTTTTTTTTTTTACAGACTTGGTCCAACTCTAGATCCATTCCTCCAATAACTCAATGCTGGTCCTTTTTTGAAGATTGTTAAAGAAGGAAAATTACAGGCATTAAAATTAATACCAAACAACATCTATCAAAGCAATTTAATGAAGACAGTATGCTTTGTTCACTAGTTCAATAACAATAAGCCTCCTTTTCTTTTGGTTAGGCTTATTTTCCAGTTTGAATTTGCTCCATTACACATATTACATCAATCAGCCTTTGACTTGCAGAGAACATTTTCAGTGATGCAGAAGTATTTAAAAAAAACACTCAAAATTGACTGGAGAGAAACTTTGAGTTATTACACCAGCTTGATATCATTACAAATAAAGTATTTGAAAATCAAAATGGGGAACTTCCCTGCAAGATGTTTGAACCCAATTGACCCGGCAGGCTACCTAGTGCAGTTTGTTTGAGCTACAAATTGTACTTCTTAGTATTTTGTAAGCCCAAGTTCAAGGTCAAGATCAAGAGAGGGACAACCCTGGACCCTTTACTTAGTTAACCAGTAGTCCTGTGAGACAGAAGTTAACTTTGATAGCAGTTGATCATTTAATTGAGTTATTACTTAACGTAAGTTAACGTGTAAGGTAAAAAAACAACAAAAACATCCATGTCTTTTGCCACGTCAATTGATTTGACTTCTTGGAAGGGCATGATGACTCGGAAAACTCAAAATTACACAGTTGCCTCAATGAAATACAACAAATATTAAAAACCTTTTGATCGCTCACCACCAAATTAATTTGAGAGGCGCTCTGGAAGTACTGTTGCACAAGTCGCAATTCACAACAAAAGCACGGGATGCAGAGACGGGCTTTTTGGCTTGCTATTCAATAAGCTCTGTTAAGTAGACGAGGCGGTTTGCTCTTGCTCAGGTTGTCCACAATCCTTACAATTTGAGAGCAAGGTCTGTATATTTATGGAAACCAAATTTACCAGAAGTTAAATGTTTCGATCAATCATTTCAAATTAACACCCACATTAAAGTTAATAAAAAAAAAATGAATGCAAATAAATATTGCATGAACTGCTCCATCTGTGCTTGCTCCAATTGTGTGCGACATGTTGTATGTCTCTTTTCCTTTTGCTTAGGCCTGCTGTAATTATAAATGTAATGTAATTTATTGTATTTTAATTTTTAACTAATGCATTTTAGGTTGCCTACTGACAACTTGCCAGGGACTACAGCTGGAAATCAGCCGCAAAGGCTAAAGCTGCTCCTTTTACTGTACAGTTAATTAAAGGGGACTGTCCACCAAACAATAAACAAATAAACTAAAATAAACTAATAAGCAATGCAAACGTGTGCCCAGCTCTGAAAACAATCCACCAAGATATGAGAAAAAAAATGTTAGTCAAATGCTGGAATCAATAAATCAGGGCTACTTATAGGCGCCTACAGAGTGGAGGAATTATATTGCAATAGCTCAGAATGATTTCACACGTGCATTAAATTCCCCTCAAAATTCCCAAAATGTTCAGAATAAGCTGCATGTGTGAACACAAACTGCAGAATTTTTCCTGCCAACCCCTCAGTAAAAATTCCCGCATTTATTGGGTTTGGGACGATGTGTGAACACAGCAGGTAAAAGTCGCCCCTCTTCGGTGAGTGAGCGTAAGGGCGTGATGAAGTAGTTTGCGAAAAGTGTTTGCCGGGGAGAATGCTGTTCACGCAATCAACCAGCTTCATACTCTGTTCTACACTCCAGTATGTTCTTCGTTGCTCATTTCTTGATGCATCCAATACCATATTCACATAAAGGATATCTTAAAAACATTAAGACAGCAGCACTCTTTTTATCAGTGTCCTGCCTCCTAAGACCCCTCCCCCCATCCCGTACTACACTAACCTTTCCTC